GTGGGAGCGCGGTTGCGAGAAGAAATCCATGCCTGGCACCGGATGCCTGTGCTGGCTGAACAAGGTGCCTCTGTGTTTGTGTGTGTGTGTGTGTGTCTGTCTGCACATGCACACATACAGAGAGAGAGAGAGAGAGCGCGCAGTTGACAAGAAGGGCTTTGGCCATTGCTGGTGTGTGTGTGTGTGTGTGTTATGTAAGGAAGGGGTTGCGTCATGGGGGGGCTGAGGCTGTGGCCCCCAAGGATAGGGAACTTGTGAGGGTGGGGGGGATGCTGCCATGGGGGGTGTCTGGTTAGCAGTCTCCCCCCCACCACCAGAGAGCCCAGCATGTCTCCCCATCAGGGGCTCTTCCTCCCCTCCCCTCCAGCCCCTTCCTGGAACCCTTTCTCCAAGAAGGGCCCTTGAAATCACCTGTCCAGATGTTATGCCTGTCATACCCAGCTTGTCTGCAGCGGGGGGGGGGAGGGATTTGGATGTGCTCTCCCTGTTCCCCCCCCTTCCACATCTCTTCTCACTGGTCCACTCTCTGCACCTTTAAGGGCCCCTCCCTCCTCACCTAAGTGCAGCAGGTGAGGGCAAGGGTGGGGGCCCAGCTGCTGAGGCTAGGATCCACCAGCTCCCCCACCTGCCAGTGCTCTCTGACCTGCTTCCCAAATGATCTTAGACTACAGCACCCATCATCCACAGGCAAGAGCCCATGGAAGATGTAGGACACCAGGCAGGGGAAAGGTGACCCACAGAACCTGGGAAAATGACATCTTGGGAGCACTCCTCCCAGAACCTGTCAGATGGCGGGCGGGGGAGCTCCTGTGGACCCCCCAGCAGCATGGAAGGCAAAACAGTTCCCCTTCAGCGGGGGCAGCAGAAAGGAAACGCCTTCCCCTCCCTCCACCCCACCAGAGTGTTCCATCTGCCCCAGGAGATTCAAGGAAATACAGCGTGCTCCCCTCGCACCACATCCCAGTTAGGTCCAACAACTTGCCCCAGAGGTCAATATATTGGCCTGGACCCCACCCCGTTTGCTGAAGCATGGGAGAGGGGAGCCGGATCGGACGGAGAAAATGCAAGGCAGCCTTCACCAACCAAGTACTGTAACACTCTCTAAACCTGTTGGACTACAACGTCCATGCTCCACAGCATCTTGGCCAACATCTGTGACCCCTCCCCTGAGGCATCTAGCCACCCACTTTTGCAGAGAGGGTGGGCTGGGCCAAGTCACTTTCCAAGCTCTGCCCTTGATTGTTGCAAGAAGCTGTCCGTTGCCAGGTACTCTAAAAATATCTGATTAAAAAGAGCACTTTATTAAAAACAACAACACTGAATTGTAACCCTTAAAACTGTTGAGAACTTAAGAAAAACAAGTTCTCAGATCTGTAACCATATGGAGAAGATCTTGGTCCAAACAGGAAGGCAGTAAAAGCAGGCAAGCCTTTGAGAGCACAGATCTCTTAATCAGGCACCCTGTTAGGAAAACAGGCAGCCCGCCTTCAGTCCGTGTAGCCTCTGTGGTGTCTGGAGAGGGTCCGTGGGGTGGAGGTGGGGAGGGCCACGCAGACGTTCCAGGGGAGAAAGGGCTTTTAGCGCTCCTCCAGAGAAGACCCACGAGCAAGCTGTTGGGAGTCGGAGCGTGGGCGAGCGCCGGCCCCGCCAACTTCGGAACCCAAAGCCATCCTTCTGGGTCTCCCGCCTCCCCCTCCCCACTCTGAAGAAGTTGTGGGTTAGGGTTAAGGTAGCTGGTAAAGAGACTCCCCCGCTCTCTCCTCCCTTAAAGGCGGCCCTCCCTCGCCTGTGCCATCACGAGCACATGTCCAAAGAGATCTGCGTAACCCGGAGGCCTGCACAGCCTCTTCGCTTGAAGGCAGAGCTCCGTGCAGGAAGGCCGCCCCTCCTGCCTCCTTCACACCATGCCTTCTGCCTCCGGACCCTCCTCGGGCAGCCCGGCCCCGCCCCATCTGGACCAGGGGGCG